AATATCACAGCTGCTGGAGAAAGTGAGGGCCACTCAGCTGAGCCGCAGCACTCACGTTCTCAAGCCTTTATGCCTGAGGCCGTCCTCCAGGCCTGTTCTAAACAGCTTCATTCTGGTAACACTCCCCTGTAGTCGCTTGTGCCTGTGACATGACCTTCAACTGTAGTTCTTCAGTCCCCTGCAAATCATTGTACACTCAAGGAGTCACACACACACACACACACACACACACACACACAGACACATGCTCACATATACATGCATGTGCACATTAAAAATTTTTTTTCAACAAGAAAGCCAGGTGATGAGAAAACAAGCTGTCAGGGATTTCTTTTGCAAAATACAATAAGGCAACTTCCAGAGGACAATCAGAGCTTGGTATCAAAATTCTGCTTGTATTCTTAACATCTCCTGTAGGGGTAAGACTATGAGCAGTGTCAGCAGAGTGAGAACCCCAGGGCATTGAAACGTCTTCAATCACCTGTCCTCAACCAACATTTGCCAAACAGTGTCTAGGTATCAGGCATTATGCTGAGTGCAGTGCAGGGTTCAAGTGTTGCAGAAAAATGTGTTACAGCTTAGTGTCACAGTTCAGTTGTGACAGCAACCTGGATCCAGGCAAGAGACCAAGCAGCACTCAGAGAGTTGGAGAACTCAGGTTAATTACGCCAGCAGACCCAGAAGAGTTAACACTCCAAGCTCTGGACCCTGTCTGTAGGTTTACACAGGCCTTTATAGGCTGCCAGTTTTACACTTTGCAACATCATATGCAAATAAAGTATAACAGAAGTTGACCAACCAGGAACAAGCTTCATAGAAATAGACCAATCAGGAGTGAGAGAAATAACCAATCAGGAGTGAGCTCTATGCAAATGAAGTACTACAAATGGACCAATCAGAAGTTAGGGAAGTGGACCAATCAGAAGTGAGAGTAATAACCACTCAGGAGTGAAGGAAATAACCAATCAGAAGCGAGCTCAGGGAACCAACAGAATTTTAGGGGTAAGTAAGCCGTTTCAGAGGCAAAAAGTGAAATAGAGCCTCTGAGCCAGGGAATTGGATGGTGCCTGCACAAGAGTAGTGGCCCTGCTTGGAGGGCTTGCTGGATAAGGCTTCCCACCTCACAAGAACAGGGCAGGCACATCTCTGCTCTCGAGGAACACACAGGCCTTGGGAGAAAGAGGCCACAGCATGAAAATGTAATGGCACCACAAGGGCTGTCACAAAGCCTTGCACCCTTGAGTAATAGAAGACTTGAGCTTGGTCTCTGCGCCACCCCCCCAAACTCACCAGCTGTCCATTTACCTCGTACTTTACTCTGGTCCCCCTGGTGTCAGGATGATGGTGGAGTCCACTCCCACTGGAAGTGGGGACCCTTGGGATTTTCCTTCGGGACATTTGTAAGAGACTCAAGCTCCCTGTGAGAACCTGATCCACCCCAAGGCTCTTAACCCTTTGTCATTTCAGTTAAGATCACTGCGAGCCCGCCAGGTGGTGTGGCTGGGGGAGCACAGGGGACCTGAGTGAGCCTGGTGCACGTTTTTAGCCAGAGCTCACGGCGGGCGGCAGGAGCCAGAGGGCCTTTAATCCCCTCCCATCCTGAAATTGATTAATTTTGTGAAATACCCGTCTCAGCAAAATGTCTCCACCACTTGATTTGAGGGTTATAGTGCATGTTTCCCTGAATATGTTTAGAGTAGCATTTCCCGCAGTGAGTTCTGCAGAACACTAATGCGAGGCATAGATTTGGAGAAGGGGGAAGTGTTCCATGGTCAGTATGTTTGGAAAGTTCTGGGTTAACCAAAATTAAACTGCTTTGCTGTAGGACCTCTTTAACCCTTTACTATGCCAGTATGCATTGTGAATCTTGAAAAGGCAGATGGAACAGCAATGTTTGCTCACCTTATTTGAACATGGAACCTTGTTTTCATGAAATTTCTGCTAACCCCTCCTGGGAAAGCTAGTGTCCAGAGGAACATACTTGGAGAAATACTGGCTGAGGAGATTTTCTTTGCGTATGAACTAACGATAGTCAGCTATTCCCCGTCCTCGCTTAGATACCAGGCTTCAGTAGCAGCAGGAAAGTGTAAGTTTAGACATAGAGAAATATTTCCTAACTGTGAGGCTGCTCAGCGTAGAAGCCTAGAGCGTCCCCGGGAATTACAATAAGAGAACACACCGCCCCCTTTCTTGTCCTTTCATAAGCTCTCCCATGAGTCATTATAAATAGAATGGATTATCAAGGAAGCTCCTGGATCTTTTTTATCTTAAGGGGGCCTTTGAAAATAAGATATAATTGAGGGATGAGAAGGTAGGAATTAAAAGGAAGGAAGACAGACCGGCTGATTTTCGGACGTGCTGTGTCTAAGTGTCTGTAACTCATTTGTTCATCCTTGCTCTGCCTGGGATGTACATTTCAAGGAAACACCTTCCTGACTCAGGTTTCTAAGACAAGTGGAACTAAAGAAGCAGGGAGCCAGAAGCTGCCCGCCATCTCGCGGTCGTGTTTCGGTAACTGTCACACGTTGAACGCTCCTCGTGTGCCAGATACGATGAGACTTGCTTGTGCATCTTACTTGTTCCTTGAACAGCCTCTGAGGTCGCTGTCATTATTGTTGCCGTTTTACTAAATGAGGACCTGAAGCCCAGATTCTGACAGTCACACTGCTTCCTGAAGGTCGTGCAATTCCGCGTGGTGTGGATCCTGGGTTTGAGCACCCAAGCCCTTACTCACTGTATCCCCACTACTGCCTCTGTGAGTCCGTCAGGGAGTCAGGATGTCCTTGAAATGCGCTCCTTCCACCAGGGTGTGCGTGTGGGGAGAGGAGGGGGAGGGGGGTGTAGCCGCGATAAGCTGCCCATGTTGACAAGGAAGCCAAGGGAGAGGGCGCATCTTCCAGTTCCTCCCACACCAACCGTGGCCGGTGAGGCCCCTCGACTGCCTGACAGCCACCTGGCTCTGCGCTCCCGCCCCCCTCTCCCTCCCCCTTGCCGGATGCATCTCTTCTCATAAGCCATCTGCCCCCTCGTGTCTGCTGATAGCCCACAGCGCCTGGGCAGCTGCCCTGTCAGAGAGACAGGAGATAATGCCAGCTTATGAATCAATACATCCTCTGGCTCGTCTGCGCTCCCCTGAGGGGAACGTGGAAGGCTCCAAAGCACACTTAATCCTCATCCGACTCCACACTGCCAAGGGTTGGTGGCTCCAAAGGATTCTTCGTAACTTCAGTCTGCAGGCTGCAGCTAATGAGGCTGGACTCTGGGCAGGAGAGCTCAGGCCTCTGCAGCCCGAGGGCTTGGCTGGGCTGTGGGTGTGAGTGAGGATGCTGGGGACATGCCAGGGGCCGGGAGGAGCTAAGTCTTAAGATCAGGAGGCTGTGTTAAGGAAAGCCACATTTCTGCCCAGCCAGAAAGTAAGCCCAGGGCACCTGCCATCTGTCTTGTGAGGCTGAGAGGCTGATGGGTGAGTCCTGAGGCCTGGCGACCAAGTGCTACCACGTGCGGGCCGTGTGCCAGGCACTTGGAATGAACGTGTGATGAGTGTGACTTCTGTGAGCGAGGATGGCCTGACCTGCATTTGAAGGCATCATCCCAGGAGCGGGGATTGGTGAGCCGAGTGGCCCACACCCTCTTTGCCTGGTTTGGTGTAAGGCCAAGGCAGGCCCTGGGGAATCTGGGCTCTGAGCTCAGCCCTCCCTGAGCAGGGCGACTCTTCTCCCTGTGACACTGTCTTCAGTGAGATTCACACCTGCAAGTTTTAGCTGAGACAACACATGGTCCAGGTCAAGTGATTGGGTGAGGGCCGTGTATCCTGTGCGAATTCCCTTGAGCATCTAAATGTCACTGCCCCAGGTGGGGCTTCTCTTACTACCTCATCTAAAGTAGCAGCCCCCACCTGAACCCCCCATCAGTATCTGACACTGACCATGTCAATATCTGACATCTGACACACGTATTTCTTTGTTTACTTACAACCTGTCTCCTCCCTAACCTGCCAGTTCCTGGACATCAGGAAATGCATCCCTTGTTCACATCGTCTGTGTCCAAAATATCCTCTGTGCTTCTGTCTGGCACATAATAAACACTTAAATGTTTGTTGAATGAATAAAAACTAATACCCACAGGTGAAGGCACAGCCATACCTGCAGACCTTCAGACTGAGATTCTTGGGTTCAATTTTGTCACTCCTTGGCTGATGGTGCCCTCAGGTCCCATTATGACAGGATAAAGTGCATGCAAGCTCCCTGGCCAGGCATCCAGGCCCCTGCAGATGTCTCCAGCTTCACCTCTCACTGCTCCCCCCATCACCTCATGCATCCTAGTGCTGACCCTATGACTCCCAAACTTTGGTGTGCATCCCACCCTGGGCTCTGCTGAAAGTGCGGACTCCTGGACCTGATCTCCTGAGATCCAGATTTAGTTGATGTTAGGTGGGGTGCAGAAATCGTCCCTTTTTAAAAAAGATACCCCGATAAGTCTGAGGGCAGATATTCTGTGGACAAACTTGGAGGAGCAGTGCTTCTGTCAAAGTGCCCCGCAGGCTCCCCTGCGCTGTCTCACCCCATGCCTTTGTATCCACAGTGACTTCTGTCTGGAATAGCCTTTGTCATTTCATGCTTTCCACCCAGAAAACGCCTATGCATCTTTCAAAACTCAGCTCGAGGATCACCCCTTCTGTGGACACAGTCCTGCCTCCAGCAGCTCATTAGTGTTTTTCTTTCTCTCTCTGCCCAGCGCATCTTACACTTGCCTCTCTTAGGGATCATTCTGCTCATTTCTCTTTTTTTTCTCTCCTCACACCCCAGCACTGTAAGCTCTCTGAAGGAAAATTCTAAGTTATCTCTGGACCCTTAGCACCTAGCTGAGTGCCTGGCAGCGGGGTCCGTATGAGTAGGATGAGATGCCCAGCTGTGCCCCCGGCGAGCCCGCCCGGCTCTCCCCTTCCTAACCCTGCTCTCCCCTTCCTAACCCTGCTCTGCTCTGACTGCCGCGTCTTTCAGGAGTTCTCGCTCCAGAGGATGGACAGCCTCGTGGATGATCGCGTCAACATCCTGGGATTTTCCATTTTCAACCAGTCCCACGCTTTCTTCCAAGAGTTTGCCCAGAGCCTCAACCAGTCCTGGCAGGAGAACTGTGACCACGTGCCCTTCACGGGGCCCGCAGTAAGTGCCCACCAGGCCCCTCCCTGGTGCCCCTTCACTGCCATGTGTACCCTGTCTGTGGGCCATTCCCCACCCTGGGCTCAGACCATCCTGGACTCCAGCCTTCTCCAGGCCCAGCTCAAAATGAGATTGCAGAGGTGCTGGGTAGCGTTGCAAGGGACACATCTGGGTTAGTAGACAGCTGTAGGCTGTGAGCATGGGGGAGTCGGCAGGGAGAGAGGGTTTGGATGCACCAAGTTGTCACGTAGGTGTGTCTGTGGCCAGACTCCTGGTAACACTGTTGCTGAGACCCACCTGAGTTTAGGATCCAAGAATCTTACTGTTGGAAGGACCTTCTAGCTGGTTTCTCAGATAGGGAAGCTGAAGCCCAGGCTGGGAATAGGGGTGAGGGAGAGGGGCATGGGGGTCTTGTTCAAGGGCAAACACCAAACCTTTCGTGGGTGAAACTAGATTCTGAGTCTCCTGGTCTGGTGTTCTTTCATCGCACTGGACCACGGCCCTGGTTGAAGCTTGTCCGGAGAGCCTCACCCGTCTTCTTCCTCCCTGCTCTTGCCTCCCATGCTGTGTGTGTGATGGAGTCAAAGGTTTCCTTGGCTGTTCTCCTTTGGGTCTGATGTCCTTACTCTGGGAGGCAGGTCAGGAACGTCTGCTCTGCTCGTGGGCGAGGATATAGCTCAGCGGTAGAGCGTGTGCTCAGCATGCATGAGGTCCTGGGTTCAATCCCCAGTACCTCCATTAAAGAAAAAAAAAGAATGTCTAATCATGTCCATGTATTAAAAGGCAGGTTCTCAGGAGACAGGATTGCTTGGCTTTTTAGATCTGTCCTACCCGAGTTACAGTTAAGCCTCCCAAAATCCCTTGAGGCAGCTTATGTGACGCTCATGTAATTTTCTAAAGGGTCAAAGCTTTGATCAGGGAACCGGATGGGAGAAGGCGGTGTGAGAACTTGAGTTGCAAAGTTCTCAAGGTTACAGAGCACATCCCAACAAGATATTTGAGACCTGAAAGAGGAATAAATCCATAGGAAGGATTTGGCTCGGCAGGGTGAAACATCTGAAGAAAGGAAGTTCTCACCCCCGTTAGGTGGCCTAAGGGGCGGTGAGGACGTCTTAAGCACAGGGTCGTGGGTAGGACCAGGCGCATCCCCCAAATCAGGAGTACCAGCCCTGTGCTCCTGGTCTGGTCTGTGGAGCTTGCAGTCATCACTCCAGTGATGTGATGAGGTGTTGACACACTTCAAAGGCTCCCAGCACAGTATTAGGAGAGGAACAAAACCTGCGACCTCCTCTCCAGCCTGAGCTGTTCCGCATCCAGCGTCTGGCCTCTTGAAATTAAAGGTCCCGGTGCCACATTGCCAGTTTCTCTCTGAGGGTCTCAGCCCTTCCATTCATCTTCCCATTGAGCGCAAGCAGGCAGATGGGAGGCCCGTGGCATCTGGTGGGGTGGCTTGTAAAGTACTGACACCACAGCCAGGCAGTGCCTTTCACAGGGCTGTGGGGCCGGCTCTGGCCGTGCTCACATGTCCTGGAAAGAGGGTGGGCCTTGGACACACAGGATCTGGCTTCAGATACTGGCCTTGGTGTTTTCTTGCTATGTGATCTTAGGAAGCTAAGTAACCCTTCTGGGCCTCAGATTCTTTATCTGTAATTTTGGGCTAATTATGCTTGACCATCTTAGAGGATCCTTTTGAAGATAAAATGGGATATGATTCCATCTTCAATTTATAGTTCTCCATCAAATGAGTTTCTTTAACATTCCACCTGCCAGACACTATGAGAGGCATTAGTAAATATATCAGGTGGCTTTTGCAACAGAAATGCTGTGGAATGACCAACTCCCAAATCTCTCTAGCTTACAACAATGAACATTTCTGTAGCTCGTGTACCTGAGGGTCCGCTAAAGATCAGCTGAGCGAGGCTGGAGCGCCCAGCAGCTCTGCTGACCTGGCTGAGCTCACTCAGCATGAGGGGGTCGGCGGCGGGGGCAGCTCTGCTCCAGGTACCTCTCATCCTCCTGGCCTAGGCTAGCCTGGGGCACGCTCATGCTGGTGGCAGAGGGGCAGCAAAGCAAGCAGAAGGCACAGGACCTCCTTGTAGTCCTGGGCTCCCAGAGCAGGCACACGGTGACCTCCACCTCATTTTATTGCCAAAGAAAACCACACCCACAAACCAGGAGTCAGGGAGTAAGAAACAGACTCTACCCTTTTAGAGGAAAAAATATAGTCCTGTGCAAAGGGCCTGAGCGCAGAGCGGGGTGAAGGATGGGGTTCCAGCCCACAGTCCATCACAGAAAAAAGCCACAGGTGCTGTCCTCTGGGGTCCGCAGCGTGGGGAGCAAGGTCTGCCTCTGCCTCGAGGCCAGCGGTTCTGATGGGTACGCTGTGCCCGTGGAAGCAGAGGGCAGCCCCTCAGTTCTGCCTAGAGAGATCAGGGAAGGCTTTCCGGAGGAGGGGGGAGCAAAAACCTCCGTGCTGCTCATTGACTGCAGGTGGGACACCATGCAGGTATGAAGGTCTCAGGGTGGGGAGGGGGCCAGACACCGACGTGCTCCTTACTCGGGATAGGGTGCAGCCCCAGGCAGTTTAAAAGATGTAGAACACAAAATTCATTCTTCTCTTTCTCAGTCCACTCTCGGACTTCCCAAGACCTCAGCATCCTATGCCCCCCAAGAATTCTGGGGGACATCTGGAGAAGGAAGGGTTCTCTGGAGGCTCCCTCCGGGCTGGGGGGCGGAGACAAGAGTAAAATTAGGTTGTGCCATGCCCACTGCAGGTTATTTCCAAGGGGAGGGGTGGTGTGGGGAGAAGACATGTGAGCCTTAGACCTAGAACTGGTCGCCGGAGGGGCCAGGCAGTCCTGGGTCACAGATTCTCTGCCTGCTTCCGTCTGCGTTCTCTTAGTCAAGCCCCTTGGTTTTCTTACCATTGAAAGGGCATGCGTCCTCTCGAGCCTGGGAGACGTGCCCTCCTTCACTGGCTCTCGCCTGGCACAGAGCCGAAGCGTGCTGAACCACTGATGCTTGGAATCACCTCCCTGGACCTCCTCTTCCTCCTCACAGCATCCTAATAACAGACAAGAGTGGCCATGCACCCCTTTTGACAAATGAGGAAACCGAGGCACAGGAGAGCCAGGTGGCCTGTGGAGGGCCTCCAGAGGACGGTGCTCCATTGCAGCTCATAGAACCTTCCAGCTACGGTCTCTCTGGCCTCTGAGGAGGAAGGGAAAGTGACGTAGGAACTCCTCACCTCGAAGAGCATGTGAAGCTCACAGCCTCCAGCAGCAACATATCTTCCTCGGGGCGTCTCACCTCGGCATCTACCTTTTGGAAAGCGGTGCCTCTTCCCGTCTCTTTGGGGGCGGAAATTCCCAGCACAAAGAGCCAGCTCTTTCATTTGCTGGGGAGCTGGAAGGCGACACATAACCAGTTCCAGGAAAGCACAGCCTGGCTTGTCTCCCCATCCAGCTTTCGAAAGAGGCTGTGGTCGCGGTGGGACCCGGTCTCTGGCCCTTGCTCTCCTCCATCGCCCTCTCCCCTGCCCAGTCCTCTCCCCATCAGCCTCCTCCTCCCCCTTTTCCTTCTCACCTCCTCCGCTCACTCTTCCCTTTCCATCTTCCTCTGTCACCATCACCTCCTTCCTTTCTCGTTCTCTTTCTGCTCCTCTTTCTCTCCTCTCTTGTCACTTTCTTCTCTCTTCTTTCTTTTCCTCCCAACTTGAGTGTGTCTCCTTCTCTTCCTTAACTTCCCAGTCAGCCGACGGTGTTCCAGATGGAGCTTGCTGGAACGGGGGCCCGGTTCCCAGGGCACAGAGAGGGAGTGGCTAAATTGAGGGGCGGCCACAAGAGAAAGCTCAGTGCCTGCCAGGTGGCTGCCAGCAAGCCACCACCCCCTTCTGGCCGGTGACAGGCAAGCAGGAGACAGTGTCGTGAAGGGAGACACCCACTCCCGCTCGTTTCACGTGCCACTCCCATTCATCACCCGGCAAAGAACAAAAATCATGGAAAATCATTAAAATTACAGATGGCTAGATTAAGTAATTAGAATTGAGGCTAAAACAGATGTTTGTAATTAAGTGTTTATTTCATTGAATAAAGCCCAGATTGTATGAACTATTCCATGAAATTTTAATGGTTCCTATCCTGGTATTTTGGGGGGGGCAGAGTTTAAGCAACAGAAGTTCAGAGACAAATGAACATCCAACAGGACTCTGGGAGTCCAGCGATTCGGGGAGGGGGCAGGGAGATGAGAAATACAGGTGTGTGTTTAGAAGGTATTCTTATTTTTATTTCAGTGAGTGAGGGAGAGACTCAGCCACTATTCTCTGAGTCAGATTGAGTCATCTTAATTTATACAGAGTCTTTCATTCCCCTGAACAATTTACAAACAGCTCAAAAGAAGATAACAATGAAGAAACAAATGAAAATATAAAAACAAGAGAGTCCAGGGTGTTTGCCAAGCAACATTCTGGAGCCAAGAAAGGAAGAGGATTTTAAATGAGAATTGAGCCATTAGGGGGGCTTAATATGTAGAAACGACAGGGACAGGAGAAGCAGAGACAAGGCCCAGAGGCACGCACACGCCGATGGGGGCCAGAAGCCCAAGAAAGACATCAAGGGCTCATGAAAGGGAAGCAGGGGGGACCACGGGAAGAAGCAGAGACAGTGGGCACTGCGGACCCAGCAGTGGAGACAAGGATGGAGAGCCTTCGGGTACCAAAATTTTTCCCCATCTGCAGTCTCAAATGCTTTCCAGAGCTAAATTAGTAAATAATAGGGAGAAGGCAATTAGGAGAGCAAAAAGATGCTTCAGGATGGACATCCGGGATGAGACGGAAAAGTTGGTGTGGCAAAGATTACGGGCTTTCAGACCACTGGAGGTGACATTGGCTGAGGGGAGGAGATTGGCAACGGGTGGGAGGGGGATAAGCTGGAAGAGCGTGGATGGGGGACAGGGTCTTAGAGAAGCAGCTGGAGGATCCACGTAAGAGTTCTGGGCTGACTGCCAGGAGCCTGCGAGAGAGGAGCTGTCTGATTACGTACCGAGGACCCTCAGGAGACTGAGCTGGGGAAAGAAGATGTTCAGGGCTTAGGAGGTCTCATCAAGAATCAGCCCAGGCTGAACCACTGAAAGGACCCAAGAATCCTAGAGCACGCTGGGGACATGCCACCCATGTCACTTCTCCGAAGGCCCCCCAGCACCCCTTGCTGGAGTTGTGATTACTAGACGCACTCGAAGAATCTTGCCAGCCCAGGAGTTCAGGATGCCAAAGAACGCTACAAACAGCCACAGACCGATCTCCCAGCATCTGGACCATTTGCTAATAATGGAGCATCAGCCAAGAAAACCACGTCCCAGACAGAGTGGGAATAGTGACAACCATGTGGCAGGAAAGAGCTTGGGGCCTGGTGGGAGGAAGTGAGAAATGGCGTGGTAAACTGTGTCTGCTAGTCTGCAGTGATGAGGGGGTCCGGGGACCAGCGCGCAGCCTCGGGAGAAGGGGCCTTAGAGAGGGGATGAGGCCAGGCCTATCTGGGGGCCTGGGGCACCAATGCCACCGAGAGCAAGGGTTCTCCAGGGCCTCCAGCACCAACCAGACAGGGTGCTCTGAGCTCCCAGTAATGCAAAACCAGAATTAAACTGCCTCTTGCGAAAAGGAAAATGTGTTATCTCATCTCACAGCAAGTCCAGACATAGGGCAGATTCCAGAGCATCGTCACTGGAAACCCAGGTTCTTTGCATCTCTGCTCTGTGCCCTTGGTGTCAGCTTCTTCCTCAGGCTGGAGCCAGGATGGATGCCGCAGGTCCGGGCGTCATATCCAGAGCAAGCAGTGTCCAGAGGAGGACGGACTGCCTCTTGTAGAGACAGGAAGCTCTTGCGAGAAGCAGCCCCTTGCTCCAAGCCTCAGCTTGTGTCTCATTGGTCAGAATCGGGCCATCTGCCCAGTGCCGAATTGCGTACTGGCAGGGGGATGGGATGACTCTCGGGTCAGCCAGGCTCACCTGACAGCTCGGGCTGGGTCGTGTGCTGGGACAGCTACCCCTGAAGCACGTGGCTGCGTGGGGGAAGGGAGGACACCTGAAGGAAGCGGGGGTTCTGTTGGGGAGGAGGCAGAGGAGAATGGGTGCTGTGCAGGCAACAGGTGGTTCCCTTCCGCGGCCGCCTTGTAGTCCTGTGCCAGCAGAGGCTCCGGGTGCTCTTAACTGAGAGGCTAACTTGACGACAAACAGCCAGTCAGATTGGGAGGCAAACTGCGTGATGACCAAACCTGGGGCAGCAGAGAGGCCTGTCCACCGCCCTTCCCTGCCCCCAGCTCTGGCCCAAGAGCCTCATGCTCTTGTCTGCTGTTGAGAAGGTAACTGCATCTAGAAAGACTGCCTCACGCTGTCCTGGGAGGCGAGGCACGAATAATTCTGGTGGAGCAATGACATACCCTGGCGTCTCAAGAGGAGCCTTGTCGGGAAGGGAGGGGGAAAGACATTGCTGCAGGCAGTGGATGGGAGGGGGCGGGGAATGAGCCTGGAGAAAGGGCAGCTGGGTTGCAGTCTGCTCCCATCCTGTCTGAAGTCCTCTGAGTTGGACTGGTTGGTTTCCAGGACCCCTTCTAGTTCTGACACGCGCTGATTTTGAGAATCTCAGCACGGAGAGATTAACTGGGAGGCAAGGGAGACGCTGGGACAGAAATTAGTTTACAGAATCATTTAAATAGCCAAACGGAAGGATGGAAAAGCCGGTGTCAGTAGGGGTCGCTAACTCCCCTCACGTAGATGCTTGTCCGAGCTGGAAAGGGCGTCTTTAGCGTTCGTAATTTCCATATGTCCTTTGGCAGGGAAACGTGAGAGGTCCATTAATAAAGGAGCCACATGTGCTCGGGGGGAAATGAATTATGTGCAAAGGACAAGGACAGTTGTAGTCTTGCCGAGAAGCATCCAGGTGAGCCTCGAATCAACTGAAGAAGGAGCTCGGCTGCCAGGGGAAGGGCAGTGGGATGGAGAAGAGAGCCCCCTTCTCAGGAGTCTCTCAGATCAGTGGAGCGAGGAGAGAAAGGGATACTCTTGAAATAATCTGGGGCCCAAAGCGATGGCTTGATGGTCCAATTTCAGAGAGGCCTTGGCCACCATTGTCTCCTTGGGCCAGCCCCTGGACTCTTAGGGGAAGCGGAGTCGGCCCAGAGACAGGCGGTGGGCCAACAGCATCAGAGACACACCCTTACTTCTTTGTTACGCTTTTCTCTCTTCCTCCTCTTCTCTTTTCTTCCCCCTTTCCCTTTCTTTCCTTTACACCCGTCATTTCCTCCCTCTGCCCCGCTCTCTGCCCTCTCCCAGCTGTCCTCGGCCCTGCTGTTTGACGCCGTTTATGCCGTGGTGACCGCGGTGCAGGAGCTGAACCGGAGCCAGGAGATCGGCGTGAAGCCCCTGTCCTGCGGCTCGGCCCAGATCTGGCAGCATGGCACCAGCCTCATGAACTACCTGCGCATGGTGAGGGGCGGCTGGGGCCCTGCAGGCCACGCCCAGCCTGGGGGACTGGGGGATACTGTTCAAGGCCCCTGTCCTCCAGGTCCCCTCGGGACACTACAGTCCCAGGTGAAACAGCCATCTGCAGTGACCCCATCTGGGAATCGTGGGTCACATTTGTCCCCTAATCCTTAAAAATCACTGAGAATCTACAGCAAGTTGGTTTACAAGGCAGTGGCCCTGGTGCCTCAGACTATTAGAGGGTCTCTGGATTCCGGGCTTGGAATTTGTCCCCTTGGCTCAGAAGCGGTCCCTGCAAAGCTCTGCATAAACGGGGATGGATCATGCTGCCGCAGACCGTGATCCCTCAGGGAGTTGCAGGCTCAGTGCTTCTGGCTTGGTGCTGGCTCTCCCCAGTGTTCTCCCAGCCATGAGGCCTCTGGTGGGATGGACAGGGATTCCCGCCCACAAAGAAGCCATCACCAGGCAGAGCAGCCTGGTGCACAGTGGCTGGGATTTTGCATTTAGAGTCAGATCATCCTGACTTTTTGCAAGCTGGAGTGGGTGAGCAGCTGCCCAAGGAGGATAAACACAGCCAGAGGCGTGGAGGAGGAGCTCAGGGGGACCCGAGCTAGAGCTGGCATCTTGGCATCGTGTTGGTTTATGCAGCAGCTGCGAGGTCATTGGGTGTGTGGCCTCCTTTCCTCCTCAAGCCCTGGCCAAGTCTGAATTGGTTCCAGAGACATCACTTTCATAGGCTTGAGACCCTGCAGCCAAGAGGTAGACAGGAGAATGCATCCTGATGGCTTCCCCTTTCTGGTGCATCCCTAGCTAGCACAGTGGGATGCTTGCTTGGGGCCACTTGGAACACGGGGCCTAGTTGGTGCTGTAACTCACTCTCTCTTGGACAGGTAGAATTGGAAGGTCTCACCGGCCACATTGAATTCAACAGCAAAGGCCAGAGGTCCAACTATGCCTTGAAAATCTTACAGTTCACGAGGAATGGTTTTCGGCAGGTAAGGCTAGCTGTGCTGCTGTGGTGGTGGATCCCTCCTCCTTGTCCCTTTCCCTGTCCCCAGCCCATTCCTCCTTGGCACTCAGGATGGCCTCCTATGCTCAGTCATCCCCAAGAGCAACAGGCTGTGTCCTGGGCAAGGCTCCCCACAGGCACTGGCTTCCCTCCTTCCTGGACCAGGATCAGCCAGTGTGGTCAGGGACCACAGCCCCAGCAAAATACCAAGAGGGCGGTAACTGTGCCTTATGCCGGGAGAGAGGAGGCAAGGGGGCGTCATGGAAGGAGGCCTTTCCACTGTTTGGTTTATTCTGCTCCCTGAATCTCGCCCTAACCTTGGAGCCAGTGTTAGATTCCAGGTTGCTTACCGGTCACACACAGATCAGATCCCATGGGGGCTGAGGAATCCCTTCAGCATTAGAATGGATGGCCAGCTCTCTCCTGTCAGCTCTTTTCTGACCAACCCATCTCCGCCCCCCACCATCCCAATCACACCCCTCCTCTCCTGTCTGCTGCCTGTGTATTCCGTCAGCTCAGGGATGCTTTGTCCGCTGGAGCTCCTTACAAGTCCCTACTCCTTTCTCATGCTCCTCCATTAACCTTCTCATTCTCTTTTCCTCTGATTCTCCTACATCAGAGGAAACAGAGATTCTGGCAGTCTCTTCAAGTACCTCTCTGAAGGTGTCCCAATTTCACCATCACCCTAATAATCAGCTCTTTATTCTTAGTGTATCTTTTCTCCATCCTTAAAAAAAGCTTGAGAAATAGGGAATGATGCACTAATTACAGCAAGAAGCAGACATATTGAAGAGTTTCCTGACTATCAGTGTCTGAACAAGGGAAAGTACCAATGAAGGGGTGGCAGAATCATTGTCTTCTTCATCATCGTCTTCACCACCTCCACCATCATCATCTTCACCACCTCCACCATCATCACCTTCACCATCACCACCATCATCATCCTCACCACCTCCACCATCATCATCATAGGGACCTTCATTCATTAAGCTCTTACCATGGGCCATATACCACATTAAGGGTATCATTTTTGTTTTCTCACTTAATCCTACAATGTAGGTGCCTTTTATTAATCCCCATTTTATAAGTGAGGAAACTGAGGCTTTAGGAGACTGACTGACTTGGCCTTGGGCAGTGGCAGCTGGTTTTGAACCCAAGGACCTCTGACTCTACGGCCCAAATTCTTAACCATTATGACCAATTATGCGTCAGAATCACGGTGGTAATTTGTTAAAAATGCAGATTTTTAGACTCTACCCACAGAAATCTGATTAGGTAGACCTAGCAGAGGGCCCAGGGTGCGTCATCAGGCACCAAGGTGGTCCTCGTGGCACCATGGGCTGCGCTGGGAGGCCCATCACATCTGCTTCCTGCCACTCCATCCCTGTGTCTGCAAGGCTTGGGTTCAGCCCTCTCCGGAGCTACATGATCTTTAAGCAATGACAACAGCTATCGTTTGTCATAACTTCCCGAATGGGGCCGGCGTTAGGTAGGTGGCCAGAAACTATGGGATGGAGTATCACAAAATGGCCGTTTCTTTTATGTGACAAATCATGTATTGAGCCCACCCTACGTGTCAGGCACTGTGCTGGGCATGGAAGAATCAGAACCAGAAAAGCACAGTGCCCGCACGGAGAGGGCCTACGGTCTGGCCAGGGAGACCGATGTGGAAAAAATAAGTACAATTTGGGGTTATTAAACTCAAATCATGCCCTCAGGCTCATAATTCCTGGAACCAACGAAGCTGCCAGCCTGTAGAAAAATTGTCAGGCAGACTTTCTGAGTCCCAGTGTGCCTGGGGGATGTGAAGGGAAGAACATTCATTCATTTTTTTTCAGTGTGTATCTTTTGAGTTCCTACAGTGTGCCAGGCTGACCTCTAGGTGCGGGTTAAAAATGGGCACAATTTCTGCTTTCCGGGAGCCTGTGTTCTAGGAGGGGATGGGCAGCAGGCAAACAAGTACTTATGCAGTACGTCAGCAGTGTAAGTGCTGCCGGCAAAGTAAAACAGGGTCAGGGAGGGAATGATGGGGAGACACTGTAGTTGGGAGAACAGTGCTCGTGCCAAGGCCAGACCCACTCCGTAGAAAGCCCAGGCTCGGTCTTGGAAAAGCTCCTCTGGCCCTCAGCCCTGCTTTCTGACGCTCCCGGAAACAGCCCACTTCCATCAGGTGACACCTGCAGTGGCAGAGTTGGCCGGTGGCCCTGATTCCACCCTCTACTTGAAAAACAGCTCATCAGACCTAGAGTGCCGCTTCACCTTAACTCTGCTTCTCCACCGGCCGTCACTCAGGCTGGCTCTCCCAGCTGCCTGAGTCATCAGGAAACAGCACCTGCAGCCACCAGCACCCACCCTCAGCCCCCACCGCAGCCCAGCGAGGGATTCTGCCCTGGGGCGTCCTGCGCAGTGGCTGCTGCCCCTTCTTCCGCAGCACGCGCTACCGGTGGAGGATAGGACTTCTCAAACCCAGTGTGCACAAGAATGACCATCGGTGCTTAAAATGCACATTCCTAGACCCCACAGCTATAAAGTCTGAGTTAGTAAGACGAGCTGCATTCCAGGTATCTGCATCTTCTTAGCTAGCACCCGGATAGATGATTATAATGCTGGTGGTCTGCAGGCTACCCTTTGACAAATACGTACCAGTAGATGTTAGCCAACTGCAGCTTCTACGCATAGAATTTCTTCCTGACCTCCCTGCATCCCACCCCCATCTTTCTGCGCTAATGTTGAATAAACAGACTCTGTTGCAGAAGTGACCGTTAAAGAAGTTGGTGTTTTTGACCTTCAGCTACCCTAAGGGACACAGCATCCTTGATTGGACGTGTCAAGTGGATTGCAGTCATCCTCTTTATTACCCATTTTTCTTCAGCAAATCTGGTGGCCGTCCTGCTGCTTTCCGGTCCGGCTCACGTTCCACGAGTAGCAGTGAAAACCGTGCAGGATGTATCACGGGCACAGATGTAGCCTTGCAGCGCTGGTCCCCAGGTCCCATCCCAATCACCGGCCCAATCTTTGCCTCTTGACAGATGTCCTTCCCCTGCTTATTACAGGATGAAGAAATGGTTTGGGGAGCGATAATTAGTTGGGTTTCTCTTCTAGGGTAGGAGGAATGTCAGTATCTCTGCTCTGATATTCTCCCAGTTTCATCCAAGGTGATGCTGGCAGGGGAGGAGAGGCTGACAAGGAGCAGGGGAAATAGCGTCTTTTGTGGACCAGTTGTGCACCAGACACCACCTGGGCGCTTTACACAGGTCACTTCTCATCTGCAGGACAGCCCTTCAAGGTGGATAAACTCGCCTTTCACAAATCAGGAACCTGAAGCTCAGAGGTGGTAAGGAGCTTGGCCCAAGTCCACGAGAAGCAAGGACTTTGGGCAGAGCTGAATTCACACACGGGCTTGTCCAACTCCAAAGCCATGGGCCTCCCCCTCTTGGCTTTTCTTCACTTTCTTTGTATCTCTAAGCCCCCAAAGCAAAACACTTTACCTTGCTGCCACCTGCTACCGACCAGGATGGCTCCTGGCTCCCAGGGACCTGCTGGGTTAGGCTTTCTTTAGTAATGGCATCTTCTCATTTGGATTTGGTTTTTTTGCTTTTTCTTCCTGTCTGGGCGAGTGACTATTAAGAGCTAGGTTTGATTATTTAGAAAGCACCATGCAGGGACCCAGTGGGTTGTAATTGGTAAATGTCTGAACCAAATACCATATTCCCTGCCAGTGACTGATTAAGGGATTATTACCATTTTAAAAGCAGTCTTTTAGAATT